TTGTGGGATTCTGAGACTTCTGCAGTAGCAGCCGAGTGTTTAATAGATTTACTTGTCTCCTTTTTCGACGTGGTGAGGTCTCAACTACCAGGTGTGGTGTCAGTATTGATGGAATTTATAAGAAGTCCTGTTCAAGGTCCAGCTAGTACTGGAGTTGCCGGATTAGTGCGTCTTACAGGTGTCCTGGGTAGTAGGTTTTCAGATGAAGAATGGAAAGAGATTTTTCTAGCTTTGAAAGATGCAGCTGCATCAACTGTGCCTTCGTTCATGAAGGTCTTGAGAACCATGAATAATATAGATATTCCCTACATTTCTCAATCTTCTGCTGATGTGGATGGGTCTTCAGATCATGAAATGACAATTGAAGATTTTGATGATGACAATCTTCAAACTGCTGCTTATGTTGTGTCAAGAATGAAGAATCATATTGCCTCACAGCTACTTATTGCCCAGGTTTGTTTCCCTTCGTTTGCTTGCACAAATGTATGCATACAGGTAACACTAGTTGAAATGGATTTATGAATGCCAATTGATGTAGTACTTCTGTACTTTCTTCATTTTCTTCCCTTTTCTTTGCACTTTATTTAGCTTGTGCATAAATTTCACTGACTACTATAATCTAGGTTTTTGTGGGGACTTAGTTGACCTGCCCTTGTCAGTTTCAGCCCCCTTGATTCTCTCTTCCCTCTCATCTAATTCTCACCCACTATCATCCTTCAAAGAGCGTCATCCATGCTTATGTGTTAAGTTAGCCTGTTATATTCGGTTGCACAATTAGTTTTGCTTTCTAGAGCATGGGTCTGATAAAGTGCTTGAACTAAATGGTTTTACTTTAATGGGGTAAAAAAGCTTCCTTCTTTCAAAGTTGTCAGGAATTTTTGGCAAACAAGAAGAATAGAAGCGTAATTTAGACATGGAATATCAGCTGATTAGTTTGTGACATAAACTGGAGTCTGACACGTCTGTTAACCTGACCGGTTCAACCTGGTTATTAACATCATGATTTAACAGGCCTACTTGAACTGGGCAGCTAACCAGTTCGTCAGTTTTCTTATTGTGGAACTGCGTAGCTTGATCTTGTTTTCCAAAAAATGCCATTTATTATCTTTTGGAGCTTCGGTATAAAACGCTCTATGGAACTATGCTACCTATATTCTTTGGTTGATGTCATTTTTTGTTAGTGATTCTTATTATTTGAGCGAGAAGGTAAGAAAGAATCATCTTGCAATGTTTATTTGTCTAGCAGAACAGGACCTAAGTAACAGGTTCCCTGCCCAGATCTGAAAATCATGGGAGTAAAACAGTAAGAATGAATTACAGTTAAAAAATAATAATAATAATCTACTTCTATATCTGGGTCCTAATGGTCAGTTCATAAAAGCAGAATGTTTGGATAATAAAATCAGATTTGAAGATATCACATGATCACTTCTTAGCCTGTTGCTTAATTCTTCAAATCTTGCACGAGAGTCCTTTAGTAAGCAAGTCAGCTACTCGTTCATTTGTATAAACATGCTTCAAATCAACTGCTCTAGAGTCCATTTTCACCTTGATTAAATGTCGATCAATATCAACATTTTTTGTTTACTCATGTTGAATGGGACTGAGTTTCAATCTTAAATTCTGCGGAGTGTCTCTGCATCCGCATCCCTTCATACATGCCTAATGCCAAAACTTGCTATTATGCTTTAGCACTGCCTCCAATCAGGCAGTCACTAGGGATGATCACGCCAACATTCGTGGGTCTGTTGTGGAAAAGGACTGTCTTTGTAGTATTACTTTTGTGTTATTCTCTTGTTCTTTTTGAGGGTTTTTTTCCGGTGAATAAGGGGGTATTTATTACATAGATGCAGAGGGCACTTCTTGTGTTTAACGTCCTGTTTGTACTTTGTTTCCTTTGAAGCCGTTGACAAAAGGATGCTAATTTGCCCGTGACCTTCTCTGCATGGTCCATTAATGTCATACTTCTGAAAAAAGATTAATTTTATTGTTACTAGTCATGATTAGACTGGATTAGACCACCTTATCAAGGAAAGCCACTTCTGATGTTTGCTTTTATAAACTTGACTTGTGGGAATCCTATCAGTTTATTGCTTAAGACTAATGTCCGCATATTCTCTTGCTTGAAGTTCTTTGTGGGAACCATTTAATGATTTCAAGTTTAGCTCTTGAATAAATTATTTTTGAAATCCTTATATGATCCGGCCACAGGTTGCAACTGATCTCTACAAAATGCACCAGCAGTCTTTATCAGCGGTCAATATTAAAATCCTCCTTGAATTATATTCGTCCATCGCATCTCATGCTCATCAGCTGAATACTGATTCAGTCCTTCTGAAGAAGTTGCAGAAGGCTTGCTCTGTCTTGGAGCTCTCTGGCCCCCCCATGGTTCATTTTGAAAACGAGTCCTACTTGAATCATCTGAACTTTCTTCAAACTTTACTTGCCTATGATCCTTCTTGGCATGATGAGATGGACCTAGAACCAGAGTTTGTAGCCGTATGTGAAAATATATTGTCTATTTACCTAAATTGCACTGGCTTTGTATCCACCAACAAGTCAGATGCCGGGCTGGTACTACGCTGGAAACATCCTTTGAGCTCAGGAAAGAAGGAAGAAATAGCTGCTAGGACGCCTCTAGTCGTCTCAGCTTTGCAAGGCTTAAATGCTTTGAACAAGGATTCATTCAGGAAGTACGTTCCTCACTTATTTCATTTGTTGGTAGACCTAGTGCGGAGTGAACACGCATCTGGAGAAGTTCAACAGGCCCTAAGCAATATGTTCCGTTCATCCATAGGTCCAATGATAATGGAATGAGTTTTGGTCGGTATATCTCAGATGAAATGTCACGAGATAGCAGGCAGAATTATCTTTATACGCTGAGGCTAGAGTCGTTCCTTGGCCATATATATTTTTTTACTTTTTATTTACACAACATTGGTGCTGGAGGGTGTATGCCGTTGGTTGACCTTGGCTGTGACATTATGTAAATGAGAAAATTCATCTAAAGCGGCGTCGAAATACCATGGATACATGAGGTTTACATGGCTCCCCCCCCCCCCCCGGGGCTTTTATTTCTTTCCCTCTTCTGAAACCAGTGTGAAGTTGGTAAATGGTCCAATTTTGGGGACGAATTCTGAAACCAGCATGAAGTTGGTAAATGGTCCGATGCTGGGGACGAAGAGACTCTGAGGCACACGTAGCATGATAAGGAAGTATCTTGTAGATGTCAAGAAGTTGTAAGAAGCCAAACATGTTGGCTTCTCTCATAAGTTTGGTAAGGCTTTTGTTCCATTTTTTCGGCTCTATGAAAGGAAAAATTTTACCCGAACGAGAACATGTAGAAGACAGAGTACAGCCAGCTGGGCTGCAGATTGAGTAGTTAAGGCTTCACTAAGTGGGTGGTGCCCGGTCAACAGGGTGTGGAGACCTGCGACGTTTCTCAGGCGAATTTTGGACAAAGAAGCTGCTAATTTTGTTTGGCTGGTTAACTTCTTGTTACTGATTTGTTTTTATTTTCTTGCTGATTTGATTTTCTCCTGCTTTTCGAACTTTGTAAGGCTTTGTTGCTTTAATATAACTTCCTTGTTGGCACCCCCCGGGGGGGGGGGGGAAGGACAGAGTATAGCAAAGAGGACCTATTCGGTTCCAGGTCTGTAATCGGTCAAATGGCTCTTGTTTACCTTATAGTTGCAAAATCGTAATCCCTCGGAATAGGAGTACATGGAAAATTTGATGAATCAGTCGTTGAATTAATCCTTTTCACCCACGAGGGAGAGAAACTGGCGGGGTGGGTAGAAGTTGGAAGACAAGCCAACCTGACAGGGAACTAATCTAAACTGATCCTTTTTTAATTTGAGAGCCAATACTCTCTTGGACATATATGGTGTTTAATGTGTTCTACTCAACTTGTATGGTGCGTGTGTATTTTATATATATATGTATGTATGTAACTTATAAATTTAATATTATTTTATATGCAATAACTTGTAAAATTATGATGTTTAACTTTATTACAATATCATCAGTAGATGATTTATCTACTTGAACGTTTAACTTCAAGCTTTCTTGTCAAATTCTGCAGTAAGTCTTGATATTAAAAAAATTGCGAAACTTAAAATAATAAAATTGAGGTATTCTAATTGAAGATGTACATTTTAATCTAATTCATTACTTAACACCATCAAACAATATTTTAAGAAGATTCTATGTAAACTTCTAATTGAAAATTGTATTAAATATATATTATTTATTAATTTACTTTTCATTATTCTTAATCTCTAATTATTTATTAATTTATTTTTTGTTATTCTTAATCTCTAATTTATTTTTTTAATAGTATGCTTAATCTACTTAATATTTATAGTAAGTTTATACAAAATTTAAGTAATTTTTATTAAAAAAATTAACTTGATTGAAAATTAGAATAATTTTTTAATAAATATGCGTTAAACAAAATATATTTAAAAATTTTAAACTATTAAATTGATATATTAATATATAAAAAATACTTAGATCAAGTTTTTTATATTCATTGTGTTAAATTCTTCAATTATACAAGATTATGTATCTTTTTTTTCATGTGAGTTTACAATTATATTATAATATTTCAAAAATCGTACATATGGGTCTTGTGTGATTAGAAAATTTGATATAATAAATATAAAAAACTTGATATAAGTATTTTGCGTAATATAATATGCTGAAAATCCTTGTGTTCTTATGCTGTTAATCAGATTTTCTTGATTTTGCCAAACTTTTGTAATTTTTAAACTTATTTTTCATAGTTTAATGACATTTGATTTCCTATAAAAAAAAAAAGATTAAACTTTACAATTAACTTTATAATATGATCAAAATTAATCAATTCAATACTATTTGAAAATATTTATTAAAATTATTTTTTAGGAAAACATAAATATCTAAATTATTGGTAAGTGAAAAGAGAGATTTATCATTTGTATAACATACATTTTGAATTTAAAGGAGATCCACGTGGGTTTCCAAAATAAAATGGAAATCTACACTTAGGTTAAATAAAAGAGAAATCAGTGTACTTTACACTATTACTAGTAGTAGTAGTAGTAATAATAATAAAAGAAAACAAGCATTAATCTAGATAAACTTATTTCATTTGAACAAATTCAAAGGGCTATGAAACTGAAATTGATATGCCAATCTACGACATACAAAGCTTTGGGTATTTATCATGAAATAGTCACGAATACTAACTCCAGAAGAGCGACTTTGGCCACCCAGCAAGAATCTTTCACGCAAGAAGCAAAGAGTAATTCGTCATGAGGGATTCCAGTTTAGCCTCCACCCACAAAAACAGATAAATCCCCAGAAAAAGCACCCATGTCCTTCACTCCAAATGCACTTACTCTTTCAAACTAAGTCTCGCATTTTGGACCTTCACCGATAACTTCAACTTCTGTTCTTCCATATCCCTCAAAACAGACAGCAGGTTTGCACGATAAACTTCACATCGCTCATTTGTACTCCTCAACTCCGCGGTCAACTCTTTGATTTTTTTTTGCTTCTCCTCCTGAAGAAAGAGGATGAACGGTTTTATATTAGAACAAGTATAGATGAAAACATGCATATAAGATTGGCTCTCAGCCTAGTAACAACACTATTATGCCACAATTGAAGCCATAGCACCGATAAATTGTTTATATATGAAAATTGTTCACAAATCATCATAGAACTACTTTTAACATAAAATTAAGAAAAAAGTTGAATTACTTGATCCTATGCAGATCGCAGTTCAATTATTTATTCCATTGCTCATATCAACGCCATATCAACACTAAACCAAACAAGTTGCCAAGATAAATTACGTGATCCTATACAGATGGCGGCTGACAGGAGATCCTAGAATAGATATATCCCTACCTGGACAACCTTTTTTTTTTTTTTTTTTGGGTCAAACCCTTCCTGGACAACTTAGCCAGCTTGCAAATCAAGCATACTCAGCAAGAGCAGCTCAACGTGATGAAATGAAAACAAGCATTCTGAAGCTGATATAAAGATCCAAGCATTGTTGGTTTCAAGGCACAAGACAACTTCAAAGAAAGCATAAAATTCAAGATTGGCACAGTCAAGATAACAATATTTGCATGGATAATTATGGGGAAAATGGGGAAATTTTATATTATTAAATGATAAATTTCGCATGACATCATGCTCTGCCATGCTCAAAAATAAAATTTGTATATCATTTCCCTTAAATACATAGTGGACCTCGCTGTGCATGATTATTCTGATGATACTTTTGCTTAATGTTAAAAGCTTGCGACATAAAAATTAGATCACCAGTTAAAAGAAGCTAACCACAGATGTATAGGTTGGCAGCCCATCTTCATCAACAGCAAGCATTCCATCCCTGCCTCTGTCTGCCAGTGCAGAACCCTCTGTAGTCCCAGCACTTTGAATTTTCACAGCAGAAACCTTCTTAGCTGCTTCTTGCAGATATTTCATTGCAACGTGATAAATGTGAATAGACTTTGCACCTTCTTCCACATATTTGATTGCTTCTTGACGCAAATTATTATGACGAACTGTTAAAGACTCATGAGAATTACTTGTGTATTCAGATGCATGCTCATCCAACAAAGCTCCCGTTTTCACATTCCTTGTCCAGCGTTTCAACACATACTGTGGAGGAAGTGTAAGAACATTTTTTGCTCTGAAGACTGCTAGTATATGTCTACAAATAATTCCTGAATACTCAAACATCTGACAACTGCAATTAGCTTTCATTTCAAAAGAATTAAAAGTAACAATGTGTGCTTTTTGGTTTTCCCCAAATTTGGCAACCCTATAAGTAATCAAAGCTCCAGACTCATCAGTTTTTGTTGCAGGATTTGCTAGAGTCTCTACTAACTCCTCTTGAAATTTCATGAATATCTTCCTCGTGTAAAGACTTGCAGCTTGTTTTTCCATAGGAGACGGCGTTTTCAAAACTGGACTAGTATTAGTAGTGTCATAGTCTGCTTTTAATTCCCTTTCATGCCAAGTTGATACAGCTTTCTCATACTGTTTGACCAATATCTGTATGGTAGTTGATGCGTTAACATATCCATCAAAGAAAATATTTAAAGCTTCATTTCCCTCGTTTAAAGATATCTCTGCGAAGAAAGTGTCCCGCAAGTAAACCGGGACCCAACGTTGCCGGGCATTGTACAATGACTGAAGCCATTCATTATCCATGATGTAGTATCTATTTAGAAGTGAGTCCCAAGAAGACTCAAACTCAACAATTGTCTCACTCTCGTTGACACATTTCTTGAATTCTGATTCAAAAGCAGGATGTGACTGACAAAGATGCGCCAGCTTCTCTCGAGTTTCTCTAAATATGCTCCACTTACAGAATCTATGGCGAGTTTGAGGAAGAACCTGGGCAACAGCAACACGTATGAAAGGATCCAAATCAGATGTTATGGACACAGGGTGGCGTCCGGACATAGCTTGAAGCCAAGTCCTGAAGAGCCATATGAATGAAGACTCAGATTCGTTGAGAATCAACGCGCAACCAAACAAAACTGGCTGTCCATGATGATTAAAACCAATGAAAGAGGCAAATGGCACCTTGTACCGGTTGGTCTTATAGGTTGTGTCCAATATAACAGAATCCCCAAAATAAGAGTAATTCATCCTAGATGTTCCATCAACCCAAAATATATTTCCACCCGCGTGATCATTATCACCTTGAACTGCATAAAAGAAGGCAGGGCTCTCTGCTTGCATGCGCTTCAGATAGTCCAGTACATAATTGGCCCCGCTGCCGAAGGGACGCTGTCTAGTGCCACTCATATGTTTCAAGTTTCAACGATCAAGTGCACAAAAAATTGTTCAACTTTTCGCTAAGAAAGACAAACTGCATCGAAGGAAAAAATTAAATTCACATTAAAAAAAAAATTCTACCTAGACATGATATGATGTTAGGAACTACAATCTAAGTGCAGTGCAGTACGGAAATGCCAAAGCCCAGTACCTCGCATACGCTTCCGAAATTCTTCACTGATTTATCATTCTCGCAGGCTAGGGCTGGAAGGATTTGCCAGGGAACGAGTGAGTATGCTCACTCCAAGGATATCTCACGTTTTTACGAGTAGCTCAAGTACTGTTCAGTCGAAAATTAAAAAAGGAAAAAAACGTTTTTCAGCTGAACCGCCGCTCACACAGGAGGAATCCGGTATCCTGCATCGTTGCCTCGAAGTCGGAACACCCGGCTAAAAAAAAGAGTTGTCCTTACGCCTGGGTCCTGCCCTGCGGCGGCCTTCGTAGTCATGACGTAAACGTCGTCGCTTTGAATTTTGCATTTTCGGATGAAATTATTAGATGCCAAACTCTCAAGCCTCGAGTTTTGGAATGTTTGGGCCATACCCATACTTCATACAAGATAAATCTGTGATGTAAGAAAATTTTTACATCGACTTCCTTCTTTTATATGAGTAAAAACTATATACTATCAATAAAATAGTAAAGTTACGGTATAGTAAACACTTGAAACAAGACAAGTAAAATATTCCTCATCAACCACGCGGGGTAAACAAAATTGAAATCGTAACTAAAAACTGAATCGAATCGAATTCAATTTGGGTTTTTCGGTTCGGTTATTTCAGTTTTCGGTTATATATTCAGTTTTTATTTTTTAAATAATTTAGTATTCAGTTCGATTAGTAGAAAAAAGAATTCAGTTATAACCAAAAAACCCAAATAAATATATTATATATTTATATTTAATAAATACTAATATAATAATATATATGTGGCTATATGTAAATTTTTTAAATATATTTATATTCAATAAATATGGTTATAATAAATATTATAATAAATCATATTGAATGATGAAATATTTATTAATTAATGGTTGTAATTGTATTTTATTACTATCTTTAATTTAAAATCATTTTTCATATTTATATATTTTGATTAATCGATTAACCAAACCAAAATTTTCAGTTAATTCGGTTTTGGTTAGTTTGATTAATCAGTTTCAGTTCAGTATTTAAAATTTACTCTATTCGGTTATTCGGTTAATTCAGTTATCATCGATAACCGAATTGAAAAACCAAATACTCATCCCTAACCATGACCTATTAAGTAAGAGGTACAGGTTGATCAAGAATATAAAAATTGTCCTCTGATCTATGAGCTAACTTTGCTAAGTTACCTGTCTTTGATATGAACTCCTGATAGACATGACAAACTCAACAAGCCAATTCCCATGAGTTAAAGTTCTGGCCTTATCAACGATATCCCTAAACGGATGTTCGAAGTCACACCTTTTGGCAATCAAAGTAATAGCATCAATATAATCAAAAAAAGTCAAGTTACTTATCATCCCTTGCTCAACATATACGAAGACTGTATATGATTCCAGTAAGCTCTGCAATTGCCTAAAATACATTTGAGAGCTTGCAGCTAAAGCTTGTTATCCACTCGTTATCCTTAATTCTGATGACGCCACCACATCAACTTCTACCACTATCAAGGATTGATCCATCGACTTCTATCTTCACAAAACCTTCCTCAAGATACTTCCTTTTATTTTAACCTAGACTTCTATTTTATCGGGTGTTTTTTTTTTTGGCTAAAACATAAGTATCCTCATATTAAAGAAAATCATATTCAAAACACTATCAGAAACTAAATATAAACACTTCTCCCAATAAAGATTTGAACCTTGGTTCACTACGTTATGAGGGACTAGCCCCTTTCGCTAGATCCAACACCTGTTGGTATCAGGTACTTTTTTTTTTTTTTTGGTATACAAGAAGGCAAAAAGCCTAAAAGAGAAAACTAACTAGTAGGGGATTGAAATCCCAATAAACCTTTCTGTACTAGAGTCCTCAAGTTAGGAGGAGCTGTGTCATAAATGGTCGTGCTAGTAAACCCCATCTTGGCCAAAGCATCTGCAATGATATTACACTTCCTAGGAGCATACTGAAGATGAACTTCTGTCAGTAAAGAAAGCAACCTCTTTACCTCTAGCAAAGTTGTTGAGCAAGTTGTAGAGTGAGAACTCCAATTGGTGAGCGAGTGAATTAAATTCTGGTTATCAGATTCCACTACAAGATTGTTGAATCCCATTTGAATTGCTAGATTGAGACCCTTTAACATTCCCCATTCCTCAGCTTCGTGGGGAATGTTAAATGTTTTGATCCTTAATCAGGTACTACTTTTGATCCTTAATATAACAGCCCCAAGTATAAGACCGCATTCTATTTTATCTTTTATATTTATCTATTTTTTTTAAGATAATCCTTATAATAATTTCACATGTTAAATGTTTTATTAAATGGTAGTTTAAACTAATACACATTATTAGCAAAAATATTCTATGGAAGACAACACATTTATTACAAATAACTAACTTAATTATTTTTTTAATTAGTTAACTAACTCTTATATTAATAATCGGAAATAGTAGAAAAGTAAAAGTACATCACATATTATTAATGTTAATTGGTATTAAGTTGAGATATTAAGTTTTAATTAAATTATCCTATTTATAAATTATAAATATAAGCAGCATGAGATATTGGGAAATTACCCACGGATCTTAGGTAAGAAAATTAGATGCATAAGTCCTCTAAATCCTATTTATTACTCTAATTGGTTTCGAGGGGTTCAATATTAAAAATTTGACTTGTAAGTAAAACTACTAGATTTATAGATTAAAAAAAATGTCACTCATAAATATTAAATTATTTATATGGATTTGTCAATTACGCAACTTTGCCCCGTTTGGGTGCTTAGAAAGGAAGACAAGGAAATGGAATTAAAAGTAGAACTAAGACACTCTTCTATCATAGCAAACGGGGCATTAAATGAAGGTAGGGACGCAATTGTCTGGAGGCGGAAGAGGCTTTTTTGTGTTGAAGGGCATTTGGATATTTATCATATTATAAATACAGATTTTAACTAAAAATTATATCTCACTTTTACCATCCTACCAATCATATTTTAAAACTCATTTCTACTTTCATTTCCTCATCCAGTTCAATAAAAATTCTTCCCTAGTACCAAACAAAACATTAGTACTTCTTATCTTATACTACATCCGGTTAAGACTTTATTTGACTTTTATTTTGGTCCTAAATATAAAACCCTAATCCACTCTGTCTTTCATATTTATATATTATTTCCAAGACAGTCTTTTTATAACAATAGTTTTAGCCAATAAACTTGATTAGCAAGGATATTTTAGAAAAAACAAAACATATTTATTACAAATAACTACCTTAACTTATTTTCTTAACTTACCTAAATTAGTCAATTAGCTCTTATATATAAAATCAAAAATAATATATGCTAAAATTGTACTTATGGTTATTTAATTGGGAAAATCACAAAAAAAGAGCACTAAAATAAAAAAAATTACATACAAAGACTCATTCACAAGAATCGTTGTCAAAACCCTCAAAATACATACTAATGTTGTTTTGGGTTCCTATTTATAATTTTTCTATTTCAGCAGTCTCTTTTTGTAATTTTTCCTATTTAATTTTATAAAGTGTCCTTTCAATTTTCTAACTCCAATACTTCAATTTCATCAATAAAAACATTAAAATTTTAAATGTTAATACAATATTCTCAAAATCATCTTTTTTTTTTTGGTAACATTCTCAAAATCATCATTTGAAGCTGATGAATGGTGGTGTTCGAGTTAAAAAATTGAAAATAAATATTTTATAAGATTTAGGAATGAATATAATCAAGATGGATATACCATATAATTTTGATTTTCGATTATTTAGATGGATCAAAAAATGGATATAATTAAATCTTACGTAATAAATAAATAAATGGACTGGAGGAGCAGGTGGGTGGGGAACGCCAGACTCATTTTCCTCCGCGGAAAACTAGTCCGATCCCTCACCGCCAGGGAGACAGAGAACTCGAGACAAAAAAATCGACCCCACAAGAGGAATATAACAGCCTGTGACAGACCAAGCTGAGAACGCTACATTTCGCCTTTCTTTTTCCTCAGTTCATATTCATACGTTTATCTTGCTTCCCTCTGCTTTCTCCAATCATCAGATCTCTCTGTGGCTCTGACTGACGTTTCCAGAAATGAGCTTTCTGGCTCAGAATCATAGATTCTTTTCAAGCAGCACGTCGGCCAGGGCGGCACTTCCGCTCTCTCACACCGGCGACTCCAAACACCACCAAGGAGGTCTTCGCAGGCGGCTCTCGTCCTTGTCCCTCAAGATCCAGGCCACCTCTGCTGCATCCTCTTGGTCATTTCCAAGATCCAAGTCCCTCTCATCAATGGGAGACTACGCTGGCACCTCGCTCAGGAAATGGTGGGAGTGGGGCTCCGCTTGGTTCCTCTCCAGAAAACCCTTTTTTGCTGGGGATCTCGAAATGAACGAGCAGGAAGCCAAGGTCCTTGGATCCCAGGACAGGGGCAGCTGGAGGCATGTTTTCTTCAAGGTCCGATCTGAGATTAGAAAGCTCCTTGGCTCTGATCAAATGGCTCTTCCTCAGACCTACAGGCCTGCCAAGAGTTTCGATGCAAATCATCGCTGAAATTCGATCTGCCCCCGCCTCTTGAATGAGTGGAAAGTGTTTGGCTCATTTGGAATAATAAAGATTCCAGTGACGAAATTAAATAGCTCCGCTTGGCTTTTGCAATTCGTTTGTTCGTTATTCATGTATCTTGCACTCTCTTTGATTCGATTCTTATATGCTCACTGTTGGTAATAAGGGGTGTAATTAGTACATTAGTGTTCTTGTATGTTGTAGGTTGCAAAAAATTTTAGAATCCCTGTTAGTTTGCACGGCCTGCTTACTGCTGCCCAAAATACGAGTTTCTGGGCAACAAATTTCTCGTTCATGTCGGTGGAGATATGTTCATGTTATTATAGATTATTCGCATTTTCCGCTAGCAGATGGAAATTGCATTTGATCAATTATTTCGATGACGCACACAATGGAGTGAGCGTCGCCTGTCTGCTGCATGTATCAGAGCTGATCAGTGATCGTTCGTTGGAAGATTTTTGGGATAGGAAATCTATTTACTGGTTATTGATATAACTATATGTGGGCTCTATAATCTTATATTACGAAGAGTTCGGAAAAAAAAAAACGGTGCTATTCAAATTTTATAATCAATGCAGCTTCATATGAACTATACATAAATATATATTAAAAAAATGTATGATTTCCTATAAGTTATATATATTGAAATCTGATATTGACTTTGTTCCTTTCTTATATCAAAAAATATTTGAAAAATAAAATTATATAAAATAATTATATGAAATTAAATTAGGCCAATAAATTTTTAAAAAAATTGCGTTGGAATTGAATGATATTTAAAAATAAAAGTAAAATCTCCTATGTATGCCACGTAAAAGGGGGAAAGGCTATAATTTAATTGTCACGTCCTTGCATCAGCCTGCAAAAATTGCATGTAGTTCTCTCTCGTCCTAAGGCAGAGAACAGAGAAACAAAAAAATTTTAGTCTTGTTTAGATTATATATGTGACAAGAAGCGATTTTTTCTATGAATATATAATTTTATCATTTATTTATTATTTTATTTATTTTATTTTCATAAGGTGCTCTCCTTAGTCTTTATTATGGGGCATCATTTAGAAGGAAGTTTTGGCCATAAATACAACTGTACAAGTCATTAACTAGCTCATTAATTGTTACTTTTTAATTTTACCCTTGTTAATAATTAATCTTTAGCGTTAAAAAGCTCATTGAACTCCTTATTTATTTATCTACATCCTTTAAGTTGGAGTAATCTTGAAAAAAATTATTAATTTAGAACAAATTTAATTAATGCTTTAATTTTTATTCATTGATATGTGGGAATTAGTTGAAAATACCCTATTATAAGAATTAGAAAGATTATAATGTATATTAAATAAGAATAAAATCAAAAAGTTACTAAATTTTAATGTAAAGTTGATAAAATTTAAAAAAATTTTAATCTATGTAAAATATATTGAAAGTAATTTATAAATACGACTAAAAGAACATTTCATGTTTTAACGTGAAGAAATACTCATAAAATAACTTCCCTACATGCATTTAAGATGTCCTGAGAACACAAAAAAACACCAAAAAATTGCACTTCGTGCAGTGAGATTGAGGTGTAGAGAAGAGGCTTAATCCCTCTGCATGCAATAAAAACTAACATCACAAAGCCCTAATTGAGTTTATTAATTGTAAATCAAAAATATATTGTACCCTCCTGGACTAATTACTTCAATACCACATTTTCTAATATGTTGGAGTCAAGCAATTCATTTTAAATTAATTAGGATTCTAATTCAAACAAAAATGATCATTGTAATTTAGTAAACTAACATTATGTATAATTTTTTCTTCCTTTTTAGTTAAGAGGTTGCTGCACGGCAATGGCATCAAGGTTAATGTCGTACTTTTTATTAAAGAGGAGCCTAAATATCTATAATTGATGCATCATAATATAAGGGGAGATAAAAACCGATGGGTGGGTGAGACTTGTTTTTCCACCCATCCTCCATTCTTCTCAATTATGGTGCATTGACCCAGTAGGAAAGTCTAGTGGTGTATATATGGGGATTGGACTAGACTGTGAAGTTTCTGTTTTGGATTGCTCATCGAACTGGATTCACTGCTCCATAAATATGAATGAAGGAGGTTTGATGTATGTCTCGGGTATTTACGGCTTTCCTGCTCTTAATGATCGGCAAAAGCTTTGGGATTGGGTATGATCAAAATATCTTCTCATTAAGAATCCTTGGTTATTAATAGGAGATTTTAATCAAGTGTTGTATGATTGTGATAAAAAGAGTAGAAATAGGGATCTCAGAGGTGCTAATAATTTTCAAGACCTACTCTTTGAAACTCAATTAATTGAAATTCCAATTAGAGGACCTTCTTTTACTTGGTTTAATAACCATTCTGGAGATGAGGTAGTTTGGGAAGAACCAGATGGAGGTTTTTGTAATCACTTGTGGTTTTAACGATATCCTTATTCCAATACCCAAGTTTTACCTATAATGGCTTCAGATCATTCACTTCCGGTTTTTGACACATTTTTGGGGCGTCAGCGTGGAAAACGACCTTTTTGCTTTGAAAATTTTTGGCTTCAGTTCTCTGAGTGTGGAAACATTGTGCAAAAGGTTTGGAATTCTATTGTTTCCCCATATGAACCCTCACAATTGATTTTCAGACTGGAATGCCTAAAAGAGGAACTTATTAGATAGAATAAATTGAAAGTGGGTAAAATTTCACACAAAATTTTTTGTTTGGAATAAATGATTAATAATTCACAATCAGGTTTGATAGATAAGGATTCCAGCTCTTGGTTTGTTAAGCTGCGCAATGACCTCAACTTTTGGTATGAATGTGAAGAGATCTTATGGGCACAAAGAGCACGAGTAAACTGGACACTTTATAGGGATAGAAATACTGCTTTGTTCCCATAATTTGGTGAAAAGGAGAAGATCATCCTCTTTTATAACTAAGCTTTAAAATAATGATGGGATTTGGGTTTCAGGAATGCATGAACTTAGAGATTTAGCAGTGCATTTCTTCAAAAAAAAAAATTACAAGGAAAGAACATAAACCCCGAGAAGAAATTCTATATTTTTTTAACACTCTTCCTCTTCCTCAATTGTCTTTATCGCATAAATTAACCTTGATGCAACCGTTCAAAGATGAGGAAATTGATTTGGCTATTAAACAAATGAATCCTGATGGAATCCCAGGTTATGATGGTTTCAATGCTCAATTTTTTTAGAAGTTTTGGTCAGATATCGAAAGGGATGTCAAATCGTTAATGGGAACATTCTTCCAGTCCGGTAATCTTTCAAGAGAGTTGGGTACCACTTATATTGCTTTAATTCCCAAAACAAACTCTCCTAAATGTTTAGATGAGTTTCGGTCGATTAGTTTGTGTAGTGTGCTGTATAAGATTTTGGCTAAAACTCTCTGTAACAGGTTGTAGTTGATTTTGAATGATCTAATTTTGTCTTTACAAAATGCTTTTGTCAAGGGTCGTCTCATCAATGATAATATTTTGGTGGTTTCAGAACCAATAACAAAGCTGAAATCAATAAGACAAGATAAGAAAGGATGGTGTGCTATTAAGCTTGATATAAAGATAGCCTATGATAGTGTGTCTTGGTCTTTTTTACATACCTTATTGATCTATATGGGTTTTCTCACGATTTGGGTACACAGGTTGATGACTTGCATTTTAACAGTATCTTATCAAATTTTATTTAATGGTTCTTGATCTCAATCTTTTTGTCCCTCCTGTGGATTGCGCCAAGGGGACCCTCTTTCTCCATATTTGTTCATTCTCGGTGCTAATGTACTTTCTGCTATGATTTGACTTGAGGAAAGGAGAGGGTCATGGAAGGGGTTATCAATTTTTCAGGGTTCTCTGCCTCTAACTCATGTGATGTATGTTGATGGTACTATTTTATTTGCTCAGGCTGATGAATCCACTCTAAATACAGTGTTTCAGGTTTTGAATCAGTATGAAAGTATTGTAGGGCAAAGAGTGAACAAACGAAAGTCATGCTTGATGTTTAGTTTGAATATTCCTTATCGAGTTAAGGAGCATTTGGCTCGTCTACTTGGCATGAAATTCCACTCCTCCCTTGGTAAATACTTGGGCATATATGTGGATTCAGGAAGACACAAAAAGAAGGTTTGCTAGAAAATAATTAATAAGATAGATTCCAAACTTCAAGCATGGAAAGCAACTTTACTCTCTCAAGCTACAAGAGCTACTTTGATTAAATCTATTCTTTCATCTTCACTTGTTTATCTGCTATCCAACTATAAGTTGTCGGCCTCCTTTTGTCATCAAATTGACATGAAAATGGCTGAGTTTTTTTTTTGGGTGTTAATTCCAACGGGAAGAAGATGCATTTGTTATCCTAGGACAAACTTTGTGTTCCTATAACAAAGGGTGGAATGGGGTTTTAGAAGATTGAGGCATTCAATAATGCTTTTTTAGCTAAATCAGTGGCACGGATATTTTCTGCAATAGACATCTCTTTACTTTCTATCGTAATTAAGCCTAAATATGTTTCCTCTTTGGATGATAGGTTGATTCTTAATCATTCCATTGAATCCCTAATTTGGAAAGAAATTAAGAAAACTGCTCATATTATCACAGATCCATTATATTGGAATGTTAGGGATAGGAAGTCAATTAATTTGTTTAGCTGCCTTTGGTGGCCAATGCAGATGATTTCTCTTGTTGCACTATTGACTGTGAGGGATCTTACTCTGCAAAATGGTTCTTCTCAACAAGATCCCACGGATCTACCCAGATGGTTCATTCAAGTTCTCACGGATGCCCCTATACAAGTACAAGTATTGACCTATCTTCTTCTTTATAGTATTTGGTTTTTTCGGAATCTGGAATTACATGAAAATACATCATCTATGCATCAAGAAGTTTTGGATTATGTCCGTGGGTTAGTCTGTCAATGTGATATGATTTAGGACAATAAGATAAAGAGAAACCTTAAGGTTGGAGGTCCTCAGGTTGGGTCAACTTCATATGATTTATTTGCATGGATATTGAATTTGCAGTTGAGTCAAAGAATGGAATTTGGCAGGAAATTTAAACACATATTGATTGAACTGCATTTTCAACAGACTTTGATCTTTCGCAGATTGATTGTGGTGCTGAAGAGGAAGAATAGCACATAGGTTATATTGCAAGAAATTCGTAAAAGGCTTCAATTTGTGAATGCGTAGACATGGATTGTTGGTCCTTATGCATATCCATTGACCTTTTTGCTACAAAAGAAGTGTGTGGTGCTTCTGCTAATAAACTCAATTATTTTTATATATTTTGATATCTTTTATATGGGTTTTGTCAACTTAATTAGTCCTTTTAACCTTAATTGATTGTTAATTGATTTAATATGTTTTATTTTGAATTATTATTTTATAAGGGCAAAATTGTCATATTTTAGTTTAATTGTGACTAATTGATTTTTGAGGACAATTAATACTACTTTATT